ATTCAACCATGCTGTCCATCAGAAGAGGACTGCATTTATTGTTTTTTAATCTTTTTTATAATAGCCATCCTAACTGAGGTGAGATGATACCTCATTGGTTTTGATTTGCATTTTCTTGATGATTAGTAATGCAGAGCATTTTTTCATATATTTGTTTGCCGTTTTGCAAGTCTTCTTTTGACAAATGTTTTCTCAGATCATTTATTTGCCCACTTTAAAACTGGATTTTAAAACTGTTTTGCTGTTGAGATGTTTCAGTGTCTTGTATACTCTGGATATTAATCCCAATCAGATAGGTAGTTGACAAATATTTTTTCCTGTTCTGTAGGTTGTTGTTTCACTTTGTTGATTATTTCCTTTGCTGTGCAGAAGATTTTTAAATTTGATATTATCTCATTTGTTTATTTCTGCCTGTATTGCCTGTGCTTTTGAGGTCTTATTCATAAAATATTTTCAAAAACCAAAGTCTCCTATTGCTTTCTTCTAGTAGTTTTGGTGTTTCAGGTCTTATATTTAGATCTTTGATTCATTTTCAGTTGATTCTTATATAGAGTGAGAGGTGGGAGTCTAGTTTCATTCTTTTGCATGTAAATACTCAGTTTTCTCAGCATGATTTATTAAAGAGGTTGTACTTTCCCCAGTGAGTGCTCCTGGCATCTTTGCCAAAAATCAGTTGTCTGTAGATATGTTAATTAGTTTCTGTGTTCTCTAGTCTGTTCCTTTGGTCCATGTATCTATTTTTATACTAGTACCATGCTGGTTTGGTTATTACTGCTTTGTAGTATAATTTGAAGTCAAGTAGTGTGATGCCTCCAGGTTTGTTCTTTTTGTTCAGGGTTTCTTTGGTTATTCAGAGTCTTTTGTTGTTCTATACAAATTTTAGGATTTTTTTTCTATTTCTGTGAAGAACGTTTTTGGCATTTTGATAGGGATTGCATTGAATCTGCAGATTGCTTTGTGGGGGTATAGTCACTTTAGCAATATCAATTCTTCAGATCCATGAACATGGGATGTCTTTCCATGTGTTTGTAGAGTCGTCCATTTCTTTCGTCAGTGTTTAGTAGTTTTTCTTGTAAAGTTCTTGCACCTCCTTGGTTAAATTTATTTCTAAGGTTTTATTTTTTTGTAGTTATTGTAAATAGGACTACTTACTTGATTTTTTTTTCCAGATAGTTCTTTGTGTATAGAAATGCTACTGTTATTTGTATTTATTTGTTTTATTTTTAGAAAGCAGGATTTATTGAGAGGACAGAAAAGCTCCCACAGTGGGAGGAGCCTTAAAGGGATTGCCCTACTGATTTTTAAAAATTAGTTTTATTTCTGCAACTGAATTTATTGATCAGTTCTGAGAGTTTTTTTGGTTTGTTGTTGTTGTTGTTGTTGTTGTTAGCCTTTAGGTTTTTCTATATCTAAGATCATGTTGTCAGCAAGCAGGGACAATTTTATTTTCTCCTTTCTAGTTTGGATGTCCTCTATTTATTTCTCTTACCTGATGGTTCTGGCTAGGACATCCAGTGCTATGTTGAATGAGAGTGGTGAAGTGGAAATCTTTGTCTTGTTCTAGTTCTTACAGAAAAACTGTCCAGTGTTTCCCCACTCAGTAATTTGTTAGCTGTGGGTTTATCATATATGGCTTTTATTATGTTGAAGTAATTTTCTTCTATACATAATTTATTAAGAGTTTTTATCATAAAGGGATGTTGAATTTTATTAAAACATTTTTCTACACTTATTGAGATGGTCATACTATTTTTGCTTTTCATTCTATTGATATGATATATGAAATTTATTGATTATCTTTATCTCTCTTTCTATTTTGAATTGGGGTCTCACTCTGTCACCCAGACTTAGTGCAATGGCACAATCACAGTCCACTGCAGCCTTGACATCCAGGGTTTAGGTAATACTACAGCCTCTCAAGTACCTGGGACTTGGCATGCTACCACACCTAGCTAACTTTTTTATTTTTGTAGAGCTGAAGTCTTGCTGTGTTGTCTAGACTGGCCCAGGACTCCTGGGCTCCAGCAATCTTCTCTCCTTGGCCTCCCAAAGTGCTGAGATCGCAAGTGTGAGCCACCACACTCAGCCTGATTTGCATTTGTTTATTTCTGCCTGTATTGCCTGTGCTTTTGAGGTCTTATTCATAAAATATTTTCCCAAACCAAAGTCTCCTATTGCTTTCTTCTAGTAGTTTTGGTATTTCAGGTCTTATATTTAGATCTTTGATCCATTTTTTTTTTTTTTGAGTTGGAGTCTCACTCGGTCGCCCAGACTGGAGTGCAGTGGCCGCTCCCGGCCACCGCAGCCTCGACCTGCTGGGCTCCAGTGATCCTTCCGCCTCAGCCTTCCAAGTAGCTGGAATTACAGGCATGCACTACCACGCCTGGATGATTTTTTGATTTATTGTAGAGATGAGGTCTCGCTGCCCAGGTGGGTCTCGAGCCCACGGGCTCAGGCAATCCACTCACCTCAACCTCCCAAAGGCACGGGATTACAGGCTGAGACACCGAGCCCAGCCTTTGATCCATTCTGAGTTGATTTTTATATAGAGTGAGAGGTGGGAGTCTAGGATAAATCTCACTTGATCATGGTGCGCTATCTTTTTGATGTGTTGATGCATTTGGTTTGCTGGTATTTTGTTGAGAATGTTTTATCAGGGTTATTGGCCTATAGTTATTGGACTTTATAGATATTCCTTATCTGGTTTTGGTATCAGGTGTCAGGGTTTTGCTGCCTTCATAGAGTAAGTTAGGAAGAATTCCCTTGCTTTGATTTTTTTAAAGATTAGTTTGAGAAGAACTGTTATAGAGGTAAATTTACAGAAAAAAAAAAAGAATGCCTACATCAAAAAACTAGAAAGATCTCAAACAAAAAACCTAACAATGCACCTCAAGGAACTAGAAAATAAGAACCTGAGATGAGTAGAATGAAAGAAATAATACAAATCAGAGCAGAAATAAACACAATTGAGACTAAAAAATGACAAAATGTCAACAAAACAAAAAGTTCATTTTTGAAAAGATAAAATTGACAAACCAGTAGCTATACTAATAAAAAAAAAAGAGAGAGAGAGAAGACCCAAATAAATAAAGTCAGAAATGAAAAAGGGGATGTCACAATACAGAAATACAAAGGATCATTAGAGACTGATATGAATAACGACACAATATTCAATGGAAAAACCTACAGAAAATGGATAAATTCCTGCACACATACAACATACCAAGATTGAATCAAGAAGAAATTGAAAACATGAGCAGATCAATAACAAGGAACACGATTGAATCGGTAATAAAACCTCTTCCAACAAAGAAAATCCAAGACTGGATGGCTTTACTGCTGAATTCTACTGAAACTTTAAAAAAAAGTTATTATCAATTCTCCTCAAATTAGGTTATCAGATGTTTGACAGAGTTGTTTGTAATAGTCCTTTACTCTATTTTAATGCTCATGTATCATAAGATTTTACTGTTATTTAAATCCACATAGACTATTTTAAACCCCCTTTGTGTGTATTGCTATAGACTAGATAATTATTCTTTGTCAATTATTTTCTTTTTAATTATTTCTCATGGGTACATATATTTGTGGTAAGTGTGCTTAGATTTAGGAAATCAGTCTTCCCCTTCTTGCTGCCAAGAAAGCTCTAGGCAGAAAGTGAGGAATGCCCATGTGAGAAGCTTTCAGTGTTGCTGGGAGAACAGCCAGAGATGAATACAATTGGATACTGATACAGCAGAATCCAGAAACACCAAAACGATCCAAAAAAAAAGTCTTCAGTGATATGAGGATCCAAGAGTTAGGAAGATAATTGCCCCTCATGGGAGCAGTGGAGACTGAAGTGACCCTACGACAGTACAAGTCAACGGATCAACTTTATCCCAAGTTTCTCCTTACTCATTCATGGAAATTAAACCAGAACAGTTCACAGAGAGAGGAAAGGGACCATCTCTTCCAAGCAACACGGTTTCTTTGAATCTCCTTGTGAGGCTTAGGGTGTAGAAAGGAGGGAACATTCTTCTTCTGTTGTTTTCACACTTCAAGAAGTAAGCATCTGAGTTTTGGACCCTTAATTTGACCAGCTTGAATGTTTCCAATTGCTCCTTGTTATGAAGATTGCTGTGACACACATCTGGCATTTGTACTATCTCCTCAGGATACATTCCTGGAAATATAATTACTGCTCAGGCATATGCACACTTTAATTGCCCTTGATGCATGCTGTTGAGCAAGTTTCTGGGTCATGAACACAATTCCAGTTATTAATCAAATATCTGATTCTCGTGGCAAATGACTTTTGATTTCATTGGCCAAGAATATGTTCCTCCAACCGGGCATTTAAGCTGAACTCTGTCATAGGAGGAGAACTAATCTTAGAGACCGTGTCAAAGGGACTGGACTACCCGTTTCTGTAATGGGCAGTTACAACAGTATGCCATGATGATGGACCAGATTGCTCCCACTCCACTTGCTGAAAATTTAGAAGGAATTTAATCTGAGAAGAGACCCTGACAGTCAAGATGCCAATCTGCAGTGTGCCGAACCTCTAAAAAGAGGGGAGTTATGTCTATGGGGAATGGATTATCTCCTAAAAAAGAACAGTTGGCCAGGCTCCGTGGCTCAGCCTATAATCCTAGCACTTGGGGGGCCGAGTCAAGTGGATTGCCTGAGCCCACGGATTCGATACCAGCCCAGGCAACTTGGCGAGACCTTGTCTCTACAATAAATAAAAAATTAACCGGGTGTGGTAGCGTGCACCTGTATTTCCAGCTACTTGGAAAGCTGAGGAGGAATGATCTCTGGGCCCAGCAGGTCGATGCTGGGGGTGGCTGTAAGTGTGCCACTACACCCCAGCCTGGGTGATAAAGTGAGACTCCAACTCAAAAAAACAAACAAACAGCTAAAAAAGATCAGCCATTTGTCAGATGAAAGAGGTTAAGAACCTTTGGCACCAAAGCAAGGCAAAATGAAACAATGCATTATTTTATAGATCTGCTTTATTTGACAATTAAAAGGAGAGCAAAGAGCAAAGAAAACATCATAGGGATACAGACTCTAGACATTAGGGCTGATCACTTGTGTCTCCATTGACACTGCAAGGAAGGGTCACAAGAATTAAAAGGTGGGAAATTGGAAGACCAAATGATATTATATGGAAGCTGTTTTGAAATAAGCCCCAGGCAGAGTTTTCTGTAATGAAAGGGGCAGAGATAATTTTCTTGTAATGCTCAACCTCAAAGATAGAACTTTGGAGGCAAGAGGTTAATAAATTAGTAACAAAGTGAAGCCCCAGTGGTGATACACTATGATGTAAAATCAGAGTATTTGACCTTTTGGTGGTAAACAAGGGGTTAGGCTCAGGGGGACAAAAAGAGGCAGAGAGGAGAAGGGAGGGTCCCCGGCATGCTCAGCTCCAACTCAGAGAACGGGAGAGACCAGAGGCCAGGAGAGGACAAGCAACCATGGGGGACACTCTGAGGCCAGAGAATGGCCTGAGGACTGTGGGACCCAAGAGCTGGCGTCAGGGCTTCAGTGCTTGTAGCTCTTCCTGCTGGAGGAGGTGGTGGTGTATTTGATGCTACCTCCCATGGAGCTGAGGCCACCGCCCATGCCTCTGCCACTGCTGGAACTGAAGCCACCTCCGAGCCCCTGACCACTTCCATAGGAGTAGCCACCGCTGTGGGAATAGCCGCTGCCTCCGCCCAGGCCTAAGCCACCGCTGACACCACTGGAGCCACCATAGCCACTGGAGATGGTGGACTGCGTCACGGCTGTGGAGGGGAGGGGACAGGACACAAGACATGGTGAGTTCATACTGTCAGCCTGAGCCCAGTCAGAAGAGTTTGAGGACAGGGGAGGAAGGCAAGCAAAGGTACTTACAGATGTTGACTGGTCCAACGCCTTCGCCGTTCAGCCTGCGGGAGAGGAACACAGGGAGCGTGAGACCTCAGGGAGTCATTCCCTGGATCCGCGTGGGGAAGGGCCCACGGGAAACTGCTCTTTCAGTCATTTTCCAAAGAGAGCAATGGTGGTCTTGGCTAGTGTACTTTGAGGCTGTGCTTGGGGCCAGACACCTTGAAGATGGACTGGGGTGTGTGATGAGGTCGTGTCAGTGACCCACCTGCACTCCTCGCCCTCCAGCAGCTTGCGGTAGGTGGCGATCTCCACGTCCAGGGCCAGCTTGACGTTCATCAGCTCCTGGTAGTCCTTCAGCAGCCGTGCCATGTCCTGCTTGGCCTTCTGCAGGGCGTCCTCCAGCCCTTCCAGCTTGCCCTTGGCATCCTTGAGGGCCATCTCCCCGCGCTGCTCAGCATCGGCGATGGCGGCCTGCAGGTTGGCGCACTAGCCGGGGAAAGCAATAGAATGAACTTGTATTCTGGTTCTCCAGAGGAGACCAGCCTTGGTTCTTTTTCTGTCCCAGTGTGGAAAATTCCTGGAGCCCAAAGTGAATGGTGAGTGAGTTCTAATTCTTCCTGCCAGTGTTTTTCCATTCTGCAGTTTTCATCTAGTCTGGTTCATTTAACAAATCTCTTCACTCTTTTTGTTAATCACCTGCATGAAAATGTAGTTGTTTACTAATGGGAGACACTACAGTGGATGTAAGATCAAGGGACACTGGGAAAAATTGTTTGTTTAGAGTGTTGTCTTCATTGTCAAATCACGACAGTTTATGATGACCTCATGTGAATGTCACACTCACAAATGTAAAATGATGGCCATCTTTAAGTGAGGTGATGACTTTTGACATGAGATTGTTGAGACCTTGCTTCCTCCTGCCTGAATCTCTCACTTACTCTTTGTCTTTGGCCCATCTTCCACTCTCTGTTTAACCATGAATCTTGAACAAATTTGCATCACTATTCCTTACGGTTCTTGCCTACCTTTATCTTTCAGAACTTGCTCCTTTCAATTCACAAGTCACTCAGTCTTCTAAGGGAAACCCATCCAATGCCTCTATTTTTACAACTCTGAGCTAATACGATTGGTTCTGTCCATGTGGCTTGCATCATGCCCTAGGTTGGATCCATGTCTCCTAGGCACTGAGTACCCTCCTCTCTCTGCTCTTCCCTTAGTTCCTGGGAATTTTTTCAAATGCTTGTTGATGCATGCCTGATGGCCTAGCAAGGAGACAATGCTCTGCTTCACCACTGCCCTCCACTGTACCTGCTTCTTGACGTGGTCGATCTCAGATCTCAGCCTCTGGATCATGCGGTTGATCTCTGCAATCTCCTGCTTGGTGTTGCGCAGGTCGTCCCCATGTCTGCCTGCTGTGACCTGCAGCTCCTCGTACTGTAGTTGGCGGGAGAGAAAGAAACAATATCTATGGGTATTGACATGTGGATGAGGACGCTCACTTCTGAATCTGGCACAGAATACGCTTGACCCAACGGCTTCTCCTCAAGAAATTTGAGGAAATGTTGATGTTACATGATTATTGAATACTAAACAACCAAGTCATAGACCATCCTTACTATGGGACCACTGAGTGTCTAGTTCCCTTAGGGACTGACAATGTTCTATATGATTTCTTAGAACCAGGATTCAGGCTGTAGATAAAACAAAAGTTTGCTAGGTCCTTTTCTATGGTTACTTTCCTTTACATTGGATTATTTTGCTTCCTAGGCCTAGGCATCATTTCTACATATGTCTACTCTAGCGGTACAGTGTGAATATCCTGTGAGAGGATCCCAGCTTCCCTTCAGTAGACTTCCCCAATGAAATCTGTAGCCTCCTCACATTCAGGGTGGGACTCAGGTACTCCTCAGCAGCTACCAACTCCCTACTCACCTTGGTCTGGTACCAGGACTCAGCCTCATCCCGGCTCCTCTGAGCAATCGCCTCATATTGGGATTTGACCTCGGCGATGATGCTGTCCAGGTCCAGGCTACGGTTATTGTCCATGGAGAGCACCACGGAGGTGTCTGAGATGTGGGTTTGCATCTGGGACAGCTCCTGTAGAACAGAACATCATAAGACCATCTTGTCCTGTGATGTTTGCAGAGGTGCCCAACACCAGGATCTTCCCCCTTGGCAAGCCCCCTCAGAGTCAGTACAAGGAGGCTGGAGATGCTTACAGCGTCGTAGAAGGCTCTCAGGAAGTTGATCTCATCTGTCAGAGAGTCTGCCTTGGCTTGCAGTTCAACCTTATTCATGTAGGCAGCATCCACGTCCTGGAAAAAGAGCCGACACCTTGGAGTCAGCTGAGCCCTCCTTCCCAATCTACTCAGCTTTTAGACTCCCCACCAATTGTCCTCTCACTTGGGAGCAGGGAAACAATCATGGATTTCCTTCAGCACACAAACTTGACCCCTGGCTTAATCTGCTCACCTTCTTCAGAGTCACAAATTCATTCTCGGCTGCTGTGCGCTTGTTGATTTCATCCTCATATCTGCAAGAAGAAAGGTGTAAGACACAATAGAGCGAGTGTGCAGGAGGAACCACAAAAGCAGTCTGGAATCCTATACTTTCCATGAAAGGAATATATCCTAATCTATCTTTCCTGCCACAGAAGGACTAAAAGACAATTTCTGTTGCCACTAAGTTTTTTGCCTCTTTAATCTCCAAACACCTTCTGGCCCTGCTATGTTTCTGCAAGTTTAGTCCTAGGCAATTATTTGTGATTTTCATTTCCATGACCACGTGTGGACCTAGTCATTCACAAGTCTTGACATGTGTTCTTCAGGAAACTGAGCCCATTCTCCCCTCTAACTCACTTGTTCTTGAAGTCCTCCACTGTGTCCTGCATGGCTCTGAGCTCGGTATCCAGGCGGCCTCTCTCCCCGAGGATGCTGTCCAGCTGTCTCCTGAGGTTGTTGATGTACTGCTCGAACAAAGGTTCCAGGCTCTGCCTCACGGTCTTGGTGCCCTGCTCCTGCAGCAGGGTCCACTTGGTGTCCAGGACCTTGTTCTGCTGCTCCAGGAAGCATACCTGGGGGGGAGACAAGATGGTCATTGGCCAACTGATAGAAGGAAGAAAGGCGTATGTGTGTTACCAGGTTTCCTAGCAGGTCTGGGAGGTGCTAGTTCCTAGCTGAGCTGGTACAGTGCATGTGCAGAGGCTGTGGCTGGGCTCTGCTCCCCCAAATCTTTTCCCCTTTGTACCCCACAGGTCTAGCTGGAGAATTCCCCCCAGACCATGGAGGTGTCCTTCCCTCTAAGTTGAGCATATCAGTGACTTAACATTTTTCCTCCCTCTTTTTCCAAGCATAGTCTCAAATCTATTGTAAGGATAGTATTTACCCAATATACAAAGCTTTTATGATTAATAGGACCTCAGTTAAAAGGGATGTTAAATATTACCTCATAATTAAATTTAATACTATAGTATTCTAATTTTATAAACACTTCATGTTTCTTGTATAAATTTGCATTTCTATATATTGTAACATGTTTCTATGTCTTTGTCTCTAATCTTCCCAGAATATCCTATTCTTTTATTTCTCTAAAGTTTTTCCTTTTACCCAGATCCCAGAGAGTAATTTACTAGTCAGCATACCACTGGCATTTTCTTTGTAATCACTTAAGCACTTCAGAGGAAACATTTAGCCCATCCCACTCTCCCATGGCCTATTCTGTGACTCCAGGTTATCAAACTCACAGCTCCTTCTGGGCAGGATTGAGGGACACATAAGAGATTCCGTGTTTACATGTGTCCATCACCAGCTGCCCGTGTCTACACAGAGCCATCAGGTGTCCTCGTGGAGAGCTAGTCTACGTCCCCTTCTCCCTCCCTCCTGGCTCTGCATAGAAGGCTGCTGCTTCTCTGGTCTGGGGACTCAAGGTACCTGTGGAGGTCCTGGCTCACCTTGTCGATGAAGGAGGCGAACTTGTTGTTGAGGGTCTTGATCTGCTCGCGCTCCTCAGTCCGCACCCGCTGGATGGTGGGGTCGATTTGCAGGTTCAGAGGGGTGAGGAGACTCTGGTTGACGGTGACCTCTTGGATGCCTCCGGGGGGGCACACGGGGAAGCCAGGGCCCCCGTAGCCGCCGGCAAAGCCAGCTCCACCACCGAGTCCAAAGCCAGCACCGGCTCCACCGCCGAAGCCAAATCCACCTCCAAGGCCAAAGCCGCTGCCCACTCTGCCACCATATCCGCCACCGACGGCACAGCTGCCTCCTCCGATGGAGATCCTCTGGGAGCTCCCCAGGCCATAAAGGCTCCGGCTGCCGAAGCCAGCTCCCCCACACACGCCACCCAGGCCGCTGCCCCGGGAGCGGGACATGGACACGCTGCTGAAGCCAGAGCGGCTGACCCCAGGGAGCCTGGCCGAGCCGGCACTGAAGCCCCGGCGGCTGCTGCTGTGGGTCCTCACGGTGGATTTGCTGGACATGGTTGCAGGAGATGAGAGTGCTGGAGAGAGCAGAGTGGCTAGAGGGCACAGGCAACAGGAGAGAGCTGTGAGCTGGGCTCCAGGCTGTCGTTTATATATGTGGGGAGACTGGGCTGGGCTCAGAGTTGGAAGGTGAGCTTGCAGATTGGGAAGGGCTGGGCTTTACAAACAGTGAGATCACTCCCAGTTTCTAGAAAGGTAAGAAATATGAAGATTGCTTTTTGCCTTCCTTGAGTCATGAAGAAATTCTCCTGCCTTCCAGCCTTGACTTGATCCCAGCACAATGCGCCTGGATGTAAATTCACTGAAGTCATGAGTTAGTCACGTCCTCAAACAAAGGAGGCAAGGAGCTGATCTGTGATTATTGTCTCTTCCTTCTGCTCATCAGACACTCCCTGGGTGCCCCCTTCCCACACGGGCCTTGTGCTCCGCCAGCACCACCCTCGCCACCTAGTAGGACTCTGCCTGCGGGCGTTGAGGCATTTGTCCCATGGTCTGAGCAAGAAGTGGCCTGCTGTGTGGTTTCCACCAAGTTTCAACCAGTTCTTCTGGTGGCCTGGGCATGGGAACGGGGCTATATCTCTCCTTTGTGAGGCAAGGGGAACAGATAAGTTGAGTTTTTACACCCTAGGAGTGACACTTGCTCGCGTCCTGTGTGATCTGTTGTCCACTTGGCACTTCCCTGAGAGGATGGGAGCAGACATTGCCCAGGGCTCTCTGCCAGAGACCTGTCTTCTGCAGAGTGGGTCTATCCATAGGGGCAGCTCCCTCTAAGGGTTCATGATCCCAGACCTGTCTTCTGCAGGGTGGGTCTATCCATGGGGGCAGCTCCCTCCAAGTGTTCACAATCCCACTGATTTCATTCTCATGTAAGTCTGCCTTTCCAGGTGCAATCCATAGATACCCTTCTCCCTCCTGTCTGGGAAACTTTGCTTAGAGCTTCACTTTAAGAATCCAAAATGAGGAGAACAAAAGTCCTTGAGGAGTTTACTGAATTTTTATTCCCACAAGCTTTGACATTTCTTAAGATTCAGGAATCAGACAGCTTATGGGGTGTGTATGGGCACATAGTGGAGGGGCACATAGAAGCCGTGAATCATAAAAATGTGCCCTTACAAGTGTGATGATGTCACAAGTAAATTCCAAGTCTGCATTTGTGAAATCTCAAATCCCTAAACATCCCCTCCAAGGGAGGCCAGGCTGTCAACCAGAGCAGTGCTTGGTTTAGAGGTGGGGGAGTTTCATTTTTTTTCCGGTCCCAGCCTTAAGTACTATGTACGAGGAGAATCCAGAGCGATTCTAGGCATGTCGTTCCACGAGAACGTGTGGTTAGACGAGTAACCGCAGGATGAAGACAAACGTTCACACTGAGATGAGCTCGAGGGAAGCTCTTGTTACTATTTTAAAAACAGTCCCATCTCTCCAACATCTTAGGGGCTCAGCACCCAGGAGGGCAGGGTGTTCCCTGCCCAAAGCAGGTGCCAACTCAGCGTCTGGCAGGGAAGAGTTACCTTCTCAAGACAACGGAAGCAGTCCTCTCCCTCCACCCTGTTGCACAATGGTTGACCAAGAATGTGCTTCCACCCAGTTCTGGGAATGAAGTCTTCCTTCTTATGGTATGTGCTGTGCCCCACTCTGCTCTCTCGGGAGAGAGGCTTTAGGCTTGGCATGGATGATGCTAGGATGGGTAGGAAGGGTTGGCAAGTCTGGTGGGAGCAACATGCATGAGCCCAGTGTCCTATGTCTGTCAACGTTCAATGTCTGTGACTGCTTCCTCCCTACAGGAGCAGAACTGAGTTGAGATTGCAAGACCTGCAAAGCCTGACACAGCAAGACCCGTCTCTAAAAAAAATTTTAAAAATAAAAATAAATTGCCAAACATGGTGGTACTCACCTATAGTCCCAGCTCCTCAGGTGGCTGAGGTGGGAGGATCTCTTGAGCACAGGAAATTGAGGTTTCAGTGAACCATAATCACACCACTGCACTCTAGCCTGGGTGACAGAGCAAGACCCCACCTTTAAACAAAAAAAAACAAAAGAACATTTTCCAATCCCTGGTTAAGAGCATGGGCGCTGGAGTCAGAGTACTCAGGCTCCTGACCATGCTCCTGGGTTTTGTTATACAGACACTTAACCCCTTTGTGCTTTGTTTCTACACCCTGTAAATTGGGGGGGAAGATAGTGCCAACCCCAGAGTGTTTTTGTGTGGCTTCAGTGAGATAATTACTGTGAAGGTCTTAGCATGGTGGCTGGCTAAGTTCTCAATGAAGATGAGCTGATATTATGGGAAAGTATGAAGACTTTTGGCATGTGGGACTTATGTGAAGCTTCCAGAACTGGAGCACAGGTGCAGTGTGTGTGTGGGAGAAGCAGTTGGGAGGACAGCGAGAGAAATGAAACCAACATCTCAGGCTTGTGCCACATTAGTAAGGACCTAGGGAGCCATGTGAGCAGAAACACAGGCCGACAGAGCCCTGCCCAGGGGTTGTCGCATACTGTCCAAGTGCTGGCAGGAAACGTGTCTAGAGAAAGGATCCGAGTCCTTGGCAGGATCCCAGTCCTTGGCAGGATCCCAGCAGGCTGCTGTCCCCTCCTTGGTCAGGCTCCTGGCTCAGTCTCTGCTGGATCTCAGGCTGTCCTTTGAGCCGTGTGCAAAGGAACGGGGTGCCATCAACCAGCACAGGTGACCCCATCTGTTCCTCTTATAGTCCTGATTTTATATCTTTTGGGGTGTGAGGGTGAACTCATTCCTGAATGAAGTCTGTCATTTAATTGCAGCAGGGAACCTTGCACTTGACCATTTAGCCTGTCAGAGGATGGTTTAACTTCAACATCTTATCCAGTCCCAGGTTAGGCATGTGCACCAGACAATGTCAGCAATGGGAAGTATCGTGTTAAATTTCCTGACAAGTATCCCCTCTTTGGTAGATTGATAAGACATTCTCTAATATATATACAGGGGGTGCCAAAAATGCGGACACATTTTAAGTATGACGTTTGCTCAAAAGGTGGTGTTAATCAAATGAATGTTAGCATCACCACGCTACAGGCAGGACAGTCAGAGAAAATGGCAGAAGCATGGTTGAATGAAAGTCATACTACACATTGCTACCGTAATTCAATTCCACTTCAAAAAGTAATACATAGATAACAGCTCTTAAAATGTGTATACATTTTTGGCACCCCCTGTTATTAAGAGCTTTTTAAAAATAATCTGCATCACCACCTGCCAGGGAACGTTCTGGGAACCAATTCCAGTGGCACTGAGAGAGTGAGGTCACCTGGCAAGACTCATGAGGGGTAATGAGGGCTTCTGGGACAGCAGCGGGGGGGATTGGAGAGATGGGACCCCATTCTACCCCTTTCCCAGGTTCGTTTCTGATTCCCGCTTCTTCCTTGACACGTCACCCATAAAGGGTCGAGTTTGTACTTGGTTCATTTGCTGTTGATTTTCCACATCTCTCTTTTCTGGGTGTGGGAAGTGCCCGGTGTTTGCCGGCCCACTGGGACTACCGCCCTGGGCAGAGCTTTGTTTCTTTCCTGCCCTAGAGTTCGGCCCTCTCCCCTCTGTCCTCTGCCTTAGCACCCAGGAGAGAGTCGTGGTCACAAGCCTTGCCCCCCCCAATTGACTTCTCAGATGAAATCTCCCTGGTGACCCAGGATCACATTCCATGGCGACACCCAGGAGAGTTCTGTTTTCCCAGTGGAGCTGGGTGCGGAAGGCGCGACCTTCATAATAAGATGAGAACAAAGGGTGATAGTTCAGACAACCATGAGAGAGAAACCCAAGCAAGCAGTGTGAGTAACTAGGGTGACAGCAGCCTCCTCCCCAGAGGGCCGCTGAGCCCAGCCTCTTCCCTTTGCCAGGAGAGCCTCCCTTCAGTAGGGAGCTGTCATGGATGGCCCAGGAATGCAGAGCACCTTTGTTCTGGGCCCAGGAGTTGTTCCCAGCACGGAGGAAGGACAGGAGGGAGCCCCTGGAGCCTGAGCTCATGGAAAGTCTGCCTCACAAGGATTTGCCTGTCTTTCTGCTCCCTGGGTGGGGCTGGTAGATGAGAAGGAGGGATAGGCTATTGTCATCATCATCAAAAGCTTAAGACCAAGTGCCTAATCCTGCAAGCCACAGCGCGGGATGAAGCTGTTGAGAGAGAATGCATCCCGCAGAGCCAGGCTTGTCCCTGGGGAGCAGCCACTGGAGAAGTCGCTGTGGCCACACGTTTGAGGAACACAGAGGAGAGCAACAAGCCTGGAATGGACGGGCTTCCATGACAGACGGAGTGCTTCCAAGAGTACTGAAACACCCCAGATTGTGTTACTTAGTAACCAGGTTGCTTATGAACAGGCAATGCGCACTTTACTGTGAACTTTTCTCCTATTTCTCCATGTTCATGGCCCATACATATTTTTGCAGAGAACACTGATGGGGTGGCGTCTCTGGCCATGACCCCCATGTGGCTTTCTCCACAGCTGCAGAGAGTCTCAGATAACTCCATTTCCAGCAGGATGGAGAGATACCTCAGGTTGACCAGGGAGTCTGGAAGTCACCAAGAGAACATTTTCCGTGGTGTTTGACAGGATACTTGGCTCAAAGCATCAACTTGCCTCTGGAATTGTGGTCCGAAGTCCCAAAATCACTCCATGGGACTTGTCTAGGAGATATACCGAGAACGTCTTCCTCGTAGACCTGAAAGGGTGAAGGGAAGCATCACAACGGCCACTTTAGCCATCCAAAGTAGAACGTGGCAAAGGGTGTGGAGTGAACTAGGGACAATCATTAGCCCCAGAATTGAGACATGTCCTGGTCTTCAAGGGGCATGTATTGAGTGTTTGTACAATTATGGAATGACTCTCATAAATAGATTTTGCTACATGTTCATGTAGAACCTAGTTCCCTACCAAGTTATAATATTTCAAACATGCCTAATTCTTCCTTACTCGCCCTGTATATGCTGGTATTGGGTGGGTGGGTGTGTTTGGTTGTTTAAGTCATTGATACGTGCATGACTGGGCTGGGCACCAAAGGGCATGTTTGGAAGAAGGGGGTCACCCTCAGCTTTCCTGACCAATGTGGGAACACCAGTTAGAGGAGGAGGAGGAGCGTGTATCTTGTGAATGAGGAGCTTTGAGGATCTGAGGCAAAGGGATGACAGAGGTGAAAAGAAGTGCTTTAGAGAAGACGTGAAGGTGGGAAGGGATGGGCTGGACCACA